TCGTCCCAGGCTCCACTTCTCTTGGGGAGGTTGTTTTCTCTGACGATGCCTCGCTCCTTGTTTGATTCGGGCGATTCGGCTCCATCAGGCCCACGCATAGTACCACTTAATCAATTACAATTCATAAAACAATCGTTTACAGCGACCGCTACAATAATTAAAGCTTTTACGGATAATCCCGTTACAAGTATCCGGCCCGGAGGACCATTAAATGTTGATGTCAATCAACACTTCTACTGTTTTGCCGGCCTTAACGAGAAAATCGAGCTTTACACATTAAAAGGGTCGTTGTATTTCGTGATAATAAATTATGGGCCAAAATTAAAACAAAGTTAGTTTTAGAATTCCCTCAGATCAATCACACATTCAGTAAAACAAAAATCGATTCTCGCGCATTTCTTAACGCGCTGACAGCCAGGCAACACTTCTGATGTGCCAAGCAAATACATCATGGACGCCTCATCCGTAAATATTCGATTTGTTGTTTTGGAAACAACAGTTCCGAACATAGTCCTCTTTCCTTAGCCGCGATCTGAGACGTACGATAACTTGACTAAGACCACGCTTGCTTTCAGCTTTTTTTTGCTTTGTGGATCAGGCTGAGCAAGAGTCACGCAGGGACACTAATACTCCTTAGGGGTCCTCGGCTTGTTATCAACCCGCTCGATGCAAGAGTTACCACTCTGTAAGACGGTTATATCCGTACGCTCCTCTCACCGCTCACCGTGTGTCTTTGCACCTCCAGCGTCCGTAAGACGGCTATATCTGCCCCCTACCCCTCACCGCCGTGTCTGCACCGGCAGCGTCCGTAAGACGGTGCAGGAGCTGCTGGAGCTGCACCGCACGCCCGTCTCGGAGGAGCGCGAGCGGGAGAAGGTGCTGCGCATCAACCACCTGTCCAAGTTCCTGCCGGACCCGGTCAAGGCGCAGGAGTTTATCCGCAAGTTCTCACAGCACCTGGCGCAGGAGGAGTCGCTGCTGCAGCTCATGGAGACAGTCATCAACCCGACCGTCTCCTGCCGGGAGAGCGTCGACAGCGTCAACATGGTGCTGAAGCGGCTGGGCCAGCCGGTGATGACCAACCTCTACTACAACACCATCAAGCAGCTGCTGGAGCGCGTCTCGTCGGTGATGATCGACCACGACGCGCTGCTGGCGCTGGTCTCGATGGTGGAGGAGGCGGTGCGCGACCCGGCCTCGGCGCAGGAGCTCAACATCGAGCCGGGCGCGGCGGTGGGCCGCGGCCTGCGGCTGCTGTTCGTGCTGTCGTACGTGCAGGCGGCGCAGTTTCTGCACGCCGACATTTTGGCCGTGCTGCTCGGCATGCTCCAGGTGAGCGACGAGGCGCGAACGAGGCTCTCCCGGGCAGGGAGAGTTGGGACGGGGAAGTCGGCCTGTACGAGCATGTGATCGAGAGAGGCGTTAACAATGGGGTAGATCAGTTTTAAGTACTCACTACTCAGGCGATTTCCTTGTTATTGGCACACGTCCATGTCAATCTTATTTGCATGCCAATTAGTTACCAGTGGCTAGCTTCAAACATCCGCCTCACGTTCATGCCACATCCGGCTCTAAATGTTGTGCTTTATCAGAGCATTTTGTGTTCAGCCGCCCGTGATCTGACCCCTGTGAGCCGCCCGTGATCTGACCTCCACCGGCCCGTTTCTCCGCCCGCGGGGCAGACGGACGACGACACGGTGACGCCCAAGGTGCTGGGCGTGCTGCACTTTGTGGGCAAGTACCGGCCGCTGGCGTCCGAGTTCCCCGATCTGATGGACAGCCTGGTGCCCGTCTGCCAGCAGCTGGCCACGGCCGGCTCGCCCAAGCAGGCCAAGCACGCCATCCGATGTCTGTTCGTCAACGTCACCGACAATCAGGAGGGCGTCTTCACCGAGATACTCGAGGTCAGTGACGAAGACTGGAGGCTGGAGGAGGAATGGAAGCTGTCGGAACGGGAACCAATTGTGGTGTTAGAATTGGCAATATAACATTTCCGCGTATTCTGGTAGGAAGGCAGTGTGAACCTTTGTTCTACTAAACTCGTACTACCAACTACCGGCAGTGTGGTTCCGCGTGATTTCATGATCAGTGTGCTCGATGTTTCCTGTGATTTGCTGATTTTCTGTGCTACTCTCCGTCCGGGCCACCCATCTGACCACTCCGGTCTGGCCGCCGCAGCGTCTGAAGTCTGAGCTGGAGCTGGGCCACGAGCACTACCGCACGTCCATCGTGTCACTGGGTCACATCGCGCTCCACCTCTCCAACAAGTTCCCCATCCAGATCAAAAACATCGTCTCCAGGAAAATCGTCAAGGACCTCCTGATGCGGGTAAGTTGTCCACAGGTTCGAGGTAGTAGCGCGCTGAGTTTTGTGCCTTGTTGCTTCACTGTGCTTTAGGCAGCCATAGCCGTTTGTCTTTTCGGTGTGATGCATTTGCACGTTTTAGTGCGTTTCCTTGGGCTCAACCAACGCTGATTTGAACGCTTTTCTTTTACAATGCCTTAACTCTCGAGTTCCAACACGCTGCCCCATCTTGTTCCCTATCCCCCCCCCCCAACAAACAAACAATCTTGCTCACAAGCCTGGTATTACCGGACACCGAGCTGGACGGGATCTGGTGGGTGCTAGAATGGTGACGACTGACGAGCGGTGTGACCAGTCCCCTTGCCCCAGGGACCTGACCGGGCTGACAGACAGGGAGGTGTATGACAAGACCCCTTATCCCCCCCCCCCGCGACCTGGCTGCGAGTCCCCTCTGTCCCCTGCACCTAAGTACCCCTCTCCCCTCCAGGACCTGACGGACAGCGGGGAGGTGTGTGGCTAACCCCTTCCCCCTCCCTCCCTCCCCAGGACCTGACGGACTCCCCCCCCAGAACCTGAGGCCCCCCCCCCCAGGACCTGACGGACTCCCCCAGGACCTGACGGACCCCCCCCCCCCCCAGGACCTGACGGACCCCCCCCAGGACCTGACGGACAGTGACGAGTCCCCCCTCCCCCCTCTCTGTCCCCAGGACCTGACGGACAGTTGGGAGTCCCCTCCCCCTCTCTGTCCCCAGGACCTGACGGACAGCGGGGAGGTGTGTGATAAGACCCCCATTACCCCTCTCCTCCCCCCTCTGTCCCCCACAGGACCTGACGGACAGCGGGGAGAGCGAGGAGGAGTGGTGTGACGAGGACGCTCTGCCCGAGGGCATCCGCTGCAAGATCGAGGGCATGAAGCTGATGGCGCGCTGGCTGATTGGCCTCAAGGACGACGTCATCTCGGCGCAGAAGACGTTCCGCATGCTGATCGCCTTCATCATCCACCGCGGCGACCTTCTCGAGGAGGGCAAGGTCAAGTGAGTACAGCCGCGCTCCCCGAGGGAGGCAGTGCCTATCGCGATAAATTGTGATGTTTGTACGAGTACCTACAGCAATCACTATCATGTGATTACGAGCGAGCGAGCGAGTTCATACTGAATTAAGGGTAAATCCTGAGTATGAGCGGCCGGCCGGCCGGCCGTGGGGACGCTCTTCAAAAGTTAATATCTTAGGAACGGGACATCCGATTGACAAGCGGTCTTCTTTACTGAATGTCACTTGGACGTAAAAGTTCTGTGGTGTGATGGCCACCATGCGTTCTTGCCAACCACCGCACGTGGCGTGTGGTAAAGTTGGACATTTTTTAAGAACCCCCAATTGTAACCTCAATAACGGCACAACGGTTGGGCCGATTGAATTGAAACTCGGTACACAGTTAGATCTCCATCAGGTAGTTCATCTGCATGTGTTAAGGTTGGGGTACTACAGCACGTGCGCACGTGCAGGGGGCGCTTCCAGATCTCGAGAACGGCTGGGCCGATTGCGCTCAAATTTGGTACACGGTTGGGGACCGGTTAGTAGGGTGCCGTGCAAAAGTCAGTTTGGACCCCGTTTGCACGTGCGCACGTGCAGAATGCCGCTTCCAGATCTCAGGAACGGCTGGGCCGATTGCGTTGAAATTTGGCACACCGCTAGCGACCGGTTAGAAGGGTGCTTTGCGCAAGCCCGTTGGAAGTACCCTCACGTCCTTCCGCACGTGCAGGGCTCACTATCTCGCTCGCTCGTTCTTCGCCCAAAAGGCGTTTTACTGGTTGTTATGCTCTGTTTTGAATACTGCTGTCTTATGTCCAAACGTCCTAGCTCTCTCCGTTAGCCGTTACTGACCGGGGCCTCCGTTGCCTGTCGCCCATACCGACCCTGTGTCGGCCTGCCCGCCTCCGTCCTGGGAGTGAGCTGACGCCGCCCCGCCCCCGCCTACCGACAGTAAGCCGGAGGCGGCCTGGCTGCGCTACGCGGCCGGCGCCGCCATGCTGAAGATCTGCGAGCAGAAGGGCGTCGGCGACCAGTTCACTGCCGACCAGTTCTACAGTCTCTCCCTGCTGATGGCCGTGAGCTCCTTAAAACTTCACTAATTTATCTGTCGAGAAGTATTAAAATCACCACGGTAGCACGAAATAGGAACACCAAGAATGGGTGACTTTGCTTTTATACATTCTTTTCCTCGTTTTTGTTTTTCTCTTTCGCTTGTCATTTCTTGGGCATTGCAGTTACTACTGGGCTGCCTTTATAACGTGAAAAGGTATGAACGTTCGAGCAGTAATTCGCATGGATTTCTGTGGGTACGAACGCCGGTGAGCTCCTAGTACCACTGACTTCTCCAAACTCCCTTCCCTCCCTGTCTCCGCTCTGCAGGACGAGTGTCTCCAGGTGCGGGAGCGGTTCGCCGCCAAGCTGCACAAGGGCCTGAGCCGCGGCATCCCGCACAAGTGTCTGCCGCTCGACTTTATGGGCATGTACGCGCTGGCCGGCCAGGAGCCCGACAAGCGGCTCAAGGCCACCGTGCGTGGGTACATGGCCGCCGACATCCTGAAGCGCCGCGACGTCATCAAGAGCCTGCTGCTCAACGGAGGGTGTGAGTCCGAGCAGGGAGATGGGGGGGGGGGGGGAGTTGAACCGGGCAGGGGGAGGGCCGGCCGGAGCGCACGATAATATCGGTAAAGTAATTGACTTGATAGGTTTTCCACACTTGCCAACCTGGTCCATCACAATCAAGTGCAATGCTCCTGCCAAGTGGCGTATCTTGGCATTGCTGAAAGTCTTCGTGTAGCCGCCGAGAGCAGCATTCTCTCATTGCGTGTTCGCTGTCGGCACCGGTGGGCGTCTACCGATGGCTGGTCGGTGACCGTGTGTATTCAACCAGCTGCCCCGCAGCTAATAACTTGTCTCTGCTCTGATCGTACATGTGTCTGTGCCCGGCAGCGGAGCGGGCGGCCGACCAGCTGCCGCACCGCTAACGGCTTGTCTGTCTGTGACTGTGTTTGTGTCTGTGTGACCAGCTGTCCCATTGCTATTGGCTCCTCTGTGACCGTGTCTGTGTGTCTGGCAGCGGAGCGGGCGGCCGACCAGCTGCCGCACTGCTAACGGCTGGCCTGTGACCGTGTGTGTGACCGTGTCTGTTTGTATGTTTGTGTCTGGCAGCGGAGCGGGCGGCCGACCAGCTGCCCCATCCTAAGGGTTGGTATGTGACCGTGTGTGTGTCTGTGTGTCTGGCAGCGGAGCGGGCGGCCGACCAGCTGCCCCCTCCTGAGGGTTGGTATGTGACCGTGTGTGTGTCTGTGTGTCTGGCAGCGGAGCGGGCGGCCGACCAGCTACCGCACATCATGCCCGACTACATGCTGGTGTTCGCCGTGCCCATCCTGGCGCACGACCCCGACTTTACCGAGTACGACGACGTCGAGTACCTGACCAAGATCCGCGCCTGCCTCTGGTCAGTAGTTCAGTACACCGACAAAACCGGCCGCCAGCCTCTTCAAACGTGTCAAACCGTATGGCCTAAGCAGCCTATTTCTTTAGGATGCTCACAGGCCGGACGTTAATAAATTTGTTTTGCTCGGTTATTGCATATACTTGCGGACAACCTGCAATATCTATCGTACGTTGTATTCACTTCTTTTTAGTTTTTAGCTTGATTAGGGACCTGAGGTCAGTTAGTTCCAAATCAGGTATTATGCCCAACGAACCGCGATGTCTTTCCGTCGTTATTTACTGTCTGATGGCGCGGTCCCATTCCCAGGTTCATTCTGGAGCCGCTGATCACCAAGAACGACAACTACTGTTTCGGCTTCTACAAGGCGCTGGTGGAGCGGATGAAGAACCACCTGGACGCAGTGCGCAGTGAGGAGGAGGCCGCCAACCACGTGAGTGAGGGCGCGGCGCGGCTGGTAGCACAGCGGGGGGGGGGGTGAGGTGAGTGGAAGGGTTAGAGGGGGCTGTGACCACCAGCGCCCAGGTATTCGGGAACGATCAGAGCCGAGTGGTGAAACTGGACTGACATCACCTTCCGCAGTGAGCGGGTGGGCGAGCTGGTGCCATATGGGCGTCTGTGCTATGTTGTGATTCATCCCGCATTATGTTCCCGGCACAATGTCCCGATGGTCGGTCCGGCAGAAACCGTGGGCCGTCTGACCTGTCCTGTCCGTCAGCAGAAACTGTGGACCGTCTGACCTGTCCTCTCCGTCCGCAGAAACTGTGGGCCGTCTGTGACCTGGCCTGTCCGTCCACATTAACTGTGGGCCGTCTGTGACCTGTCCTGGCCTGTCCGTCCGCAGAAACTGTGGGCCGACTGACCTGCCCTGTCTGTCCAGTGTCCGCAGAAACTGTGGGCCGTCTGTGACCTGTCCTCTCCGTCCTCAGAAACTGTGGGCCGTCTGTGACCTGTCCTGTCTGTTCGCAGAAACTGTGGGCCGTCTGACCTGTCCTGTCCATCCACAGAAACTGTGGGCCGTCTGTGACCTATCTCCGTCCGGCCGAAACTGTGGGCCGTCTGTGACCTGTCCTCTCCGTCCGCAGAAACTGTGGACCGTCTGTGACCTGTCCTCTCCGTCCTCAGAAACTGTGGGCCGTCTGTGACCTGTCCTGTCTGTTCGCAGAAACTGTGGGTTGTCTGTGACCTGGCCTGTCCATCCACAGAAACTGTGGGCCGTCTGTGACCTGGCCATGGGCCTGCTGCTCACCAAGACAACCAACTTCGAGATGCGCGAGTTCCCCTCGGAGCCGCGCATCCCACCCATGTACTTCCGCAAGCCGGCCGACCCCAACTTCGTCAACGGTGAGCTTTAGTAGACCAGCGCGTGCCGCAGGTTGGGGCCGACGATACTTTTTTTTGTATTACTGGCCTTAATAAAGTTGTAGTTGTTGACATACGTATCAATTGTGCGTTCCGAAAACTGCAACGATACGTGGGGCTAATGTCTGAGTTTTCTGGCCGAATGTTACAACTAACTTCCGTCGATAACTGCAATATCTCCGTGTTTTCTGATTCACCCAGCGCTGCAGTCTGTACCGGCCCTCACCTGACCCGCCCCGCCCCTCCGTCACCCTCAGGGAAGATCTACCTGCCGCCCGAGCTGCAGCACCTGGGAAAGCGGAACAACATGGTGTCGATGGCGCACAGCCACAGCATGATCAACAAGCGCATCCAGCTGGCGCAGCAGATCCGCGCCTCCAAGGCCGGCGCCGCGGCGGCCGCCGCCGCCGCCACCGGGGGCGAGAAGGAGCTGACCCTGATTGTGCAGGAGTCGCCCGCCGCAGAGGTGCGTGTGGGGAGGGGAAGCCTTCACTGCCGGTAATCAGAACGCGCGAAAAGATTTTCCGAAAAGGGGGAGTTGGAACTGGCTGTTGTGTTGTTTCCCTCACTAGTTTTGCTATTCTTACGTAAAGACTTGTCAATAATGCGTGATTTTCTGCCGGTGGGGGCCCTAGCCAATGTTATTTTTACTGTTCGAATTACTGTGTCCGGGGATGCCTTAATCTATCGAGTTTTATGAGCGGACGAGCAGTAAAAGCTTAATTGCCTCAATCATGTAATGATTCACGGCAACTGCATATTACCTCAGCATTTTTTTTTCTTTTTGAAATAACGCCAATAAAACGTATCGAACCCTGCGAAAAATAGACAGGCAACAATAGTTATCCGAGCACACCGTGCTTTCCCGCAGCGGCAGGCTTCAGATGGGATCTGGTGTGTGACTATTTCGTCTGAATTGCTGTGACCCCCCAGTGTGAGTTGTGACCCTGTATAACCCCCACTGACCCGTCTCTGTCCTCTGTGACCCCCCTCTGACCCGTCTCTGTCCTCCGGCTCAGGCGGAAACCGAGGAGGATTCTGCCGGCTCGGGGGCGGCGGCGGCGGCGGCAGCGCGACTGATTCGGGACCCTCCGGCCACCTACAGCCGGCGCGCCGCCCACGAGCGGGACAGAAACGACGACTGTGAGTGGACCGGGGACGGGAAGGGACGAGGGAAATGTATGGAGAATTGGAGAGGATGCCGCTTAGGCGCTGGGTGACGTGCTGAGGCGTACCAGTCAGACGTGACCTGATAGGTTTGTGTAGCTCAATATTTTGGCACACGTCTGTGTCCGCCCGTGTTGAATATGTGTTGGGATGCCCGTCTGGTTTCTCAGTTCTTTCCTCCAGTTTTATCTCATGGTTTCATCTAGTAATTGATCGCACATGCTCTTTGATGTTGAGCCAAATAAACTAAGCTAAAATAAATTTAACGGTCGGGACCTGTCGGGAGGTCATTGACCGAGTGTGTCTATGGCCCGTCCGTCTGAGCTGTTGTAGGTTACAGTGTCCGATCCCCATCCGCCTTTTGTGTCTCCGTCTGTGTGTCCACGTGTCTCTGTCTGTGTCTGTCTCTTAGACCGTCTCTATCTGTATGTCTGACCCGTTATATCTGTCTCTGAGACCGTCTCTATCTGTATGTCTGACCCGTATATATTTGTTTGCCGCAGCGGTGGATAGCGCGGCCGGTGGTGACCTGTCGGAGCAGTCATCGACCTTCTCAGACAGTCCTTCCAAGGACAAACAGGACAAAATCACCAAGTAAGTACACTTAGACAGTCCTTCCAAGGACAAACAGGACAAAATCACCAAGTAAGTACACTTAGACAGTCCTTCCAAGGACAAACAGGACAAAATCACCAAGTAAGTACTGTCACCCAGTAAGTACACCTCCCGCAATTATTCCTCCAAGGACAAACAGAACAAAATCACCATGCAAGTTCCGAGGACAAACAAGATAGAATCCAATGCTCTGAATGTTCTCGCGTGGGGGATTTCTCTCGAGTTGACGGCAGGAGTTGTATGTGATGTTAAGACTGTCCCCGCGGCGCCCAGCGGCTCGGTGCACCAGTTCTGACCTGCGGCCCGCCCCGGTCACAGCTACTTCAAGAAGGCGCCGCGGACGGCGTCCCCGACCCCGAGCAGTCAGCGCTCGACACGCAGCGGCCGCAGCGGCGACTCGTCGGCTGCCGGCGAGGAGGCCGGTCAGCGCGCCGCGCCGCGCACCACCCGCACCAGGGCGGCGGCCACCGAGGAGGCCGCCGAGGCGTCTGGGTAGGTGGCCACACTGTCTCTCTGTCCGTCCCCCTGTCCCCTGTGCCACTCGTATCTGTCCCCCCTGTCCGTCATGTGAACGTGATATATTGTCCATCGGTAATTATTATTCATCCGCACGCTGTCGCCACGCTGAGACTAGAGATGTCAATCGGATACCAACTTTTTGGTATACCGATACCAAACCGATACCAACTTGGTATTTGGTATTTCAATCCTAATGTGTTTGGTATTTTGTTGGTATCATAAACCCTCACTAATGTATAAGAGGCTAAGAAATCGGTAAAAAGTTGGTATTTCCCTCATTTTTCCAAGTTGGTTTGGTTTCGGTATTTCCCCATGGGTTTGGTTGGTATTTGGTTTGGTATCGGTATTCAGATTTACCGTAATTGGCATCACTAGCTGAGACCCATGTTTGCTGTAGCGTCAGTTCTGACTCATCCCCTCTCTGGGCCGCGCAGATCTCGTTCTGTGAACGGTAAGCGGCAGGCGGCTGAGCCGGAGCCGGAGTCTGAGCCGGAGCCGGAGTCGGCCCGGCCGGCGGCCGCCGCCAAGAGGAAGCCGGCGCCGGCCGCCAAGCCGGAGCCGGAGGAACCGAGCCGCAAGTCGGCGCGACACGCCGCGCCAGCTCAGGAGGACGCGGTGAGTCCGGGCCGGCTGGCGGACTGGCCAGTCCGGGGCGGTTGTGGGGCCACACAGTGGGGGCTGTGGGACCACACAGTGGGGTGAAGTAGGACTGTGGGGACGAAACAGTCCGGGGGAAGGGGGTCACCTGTTGGATGTTTGTGTCGAGGTGGCCTCCAATGGCGGCTTGGGATTATTTTCAAGTTATACTGCGCACGCGACCATGGTGTGGTGTTATTCACCATCGCAAAGCTAAGTGTGCACTTCAAGTGCCTTGTAGACTGAAGTGTTGCATTTCCACATTACTGGCTGGAGTGTAAACAGCTGGTGGAATTGGCCATTGTCAGAAATGGTTACGTGGCAGGAGAGTTCCTGCTAGTGGTTTCTGTTCTAGAAAATGCTTGTTCAGCGATTCCAGTCGTAATGTGATTCGGTTGACGGCTGCCCGTCTGAAATGTGTCGGGTAGATCCGAGTTTGCTGTTGGCCCGGGGTTGTCGGACAACTGACCCATGTTTCATCGTCTCATAAATAATATTATCTGCGTTCGAATTGTAAATGTCAAGTATATTTACATTCAATCGTTTTTACCTCTTACCCATTGGTGTGAAGTAAGCCTCAGAAAGGCTAACGATCGGACTTTCATGATCTAATAGATTTCATATATGTACATAGGTCTTTTGACCATTTCTTTACGAATTATAAGTAATCACTGTACTGGGCAGAACATTGGAAGATGCGAAATTCGGATGCTGGTTTTCGGACGAAGGTCTGTCGTTATGTGCCAGTAATCCTGCGTTTCTCGTGCGTATGACGCCGTACCGCTGCAGGGCTCTGACCCCTCCCCCCTCCTGCCCGCAGGCCGCCGGAAAGAACACACGACTGACGAGGTCGCGAAAATGAGAGCGGCCGCCGTGATGGGACCTGAGCTGACGAGCGGCGCCCGCCGCGCTGCGCCCGCCGCGCCACTGTATGCCGTGCTGCGCCACTGTATGCCGCGCCGCGCCTGTTCCGTGCAACTGAGCGAGTTATGTTAAAGCGTACAAACTTCAGAGTGTTTTTTAATGCGCGCGCCGCCCCGCCCGTACCGAATACACACTGTCTGGGGCCGCGACTGCTGTCTCTGTCCGGTGTGTGGGGACGGGGGGGGGGCTGTCGGTCTGACAGGGGGTGGGTGGATGGGGTAGGGGAGGGGTCGGCACTCATCTCGGCCGCCGGTGTGACAGCGCCGCGCTGACGGCCGACTCGTCCGTCACACGCGGCCCGCTCTCGGCGCCGGACGGAGTGGTGCGATCGGTCCAGTCTCGGCGGCGGGCGGAGTGGGACGACCCGGCTGGTCAGCGCGGCCGGGCCGCACAGACACCGTGGCCGACAGCAGGGAGCGCCTGGCGCCGCCCAAACGGTGAGCGCTGCGAGCACAGAGGTGTGACGCTGCCGGGAGCGCCGCCAGCCCGCCGTCACCACCGCCGCCGCCGCCGCCGCCGCCGCCGCGGTCAGTCGCGATGGACAATGGTGGGGCGGAGGCGGCCGGCGGCGGCGGACCCGAGCTGCTGACGGTGGGCTACGAGCGGTGAGCTGTCTGGTCGGAGCCGGCCCCGAGGGACCCCGGTCCGGGGAGGGAGCGCGGAGCTGCGGGCGGCCGGTAGTTACCGTGGTCCGGGGGAGGGGAGGGACGGAACCGCGGGCGAACCGGCAGCCCGGGGCCGGGGCCGGTCAGGGGAATGTGTGGGTCGGCGTCGCTGCTGGTCTGGTCTCGGCAGGAGAGAAGGGGAGGACTGGGGGCAGTCTGCTCAGGTAGACCCTCTGCCTGTCTGCGGCGCGCTGCTCTGGTCTGCTCAGTCGCCGCCGGCGCGGTATGCCGAGACTGACAGCAGTAAATCCCAGGCCAAAAGGGAGGCCCGGGACTGCCTGTGACAGCTAGACAACTGAAATACGAGCGGTTACGCCCGACTGCAATGTCACGCGGGCTAATGATCCGACAAAAGGAATGAGTAGGAGCAGTGTTAGAGCTGGTTCGGATTGTGTTGTCAAAATGGGGGGGGGGGGCGGCACGGATGAGGCAATGGAACTGCAATTTTTATTGTATATCTCGGATTTGACCGGAAGTCTAGCATCTCAAACAGTTCGAATTGAGCTATGTGTGTGTATCTGCTACCTACTTCAACTCAACATTTTGAGTCTTTCGATGTGCCATTGGTGACGTCATTTAGGTTATATAAGGTCATCTCAGTTTTTGCCACCTATCCAAGAACAAGTTCAACTCAAGAGTCTGGAAATGTAGGTGACGACCACCAATGCGCTCAGATTGAACCGCAAATTCGAGTAACGTGCTACACGATACGTACAAAACGTCCGGTAGGGTTAGCGACTGGGCTTCGGTCGAAAATAATCAAAACTGACGTCTTGTGAAAACGCTCTTTCTGCAGTGACTTGACAAAAAAAAATGTTTAATAATGATTTTACCAGCACCGCGCTGTTCTCATCGAGACGCATCAATTGAACGATCTTTCAGAGATAGTGTGACTTTTCCGGGACTCGCGAAGCCTATGGCCCACACTATGGCACCGGTTAAGGTCCCTGGCCTGACAACAGTCGACGGTTGAAATGTCGCATTTAAATCCGGCGCTCATGACGGCCAATTCGCTCTTGTATGCAAATTTACGTCAGATCGTAACAGCGAGGCTGCTGCTGACGGTTCATACCCCGCCCCCAGCCTCAAGGTAGGTATCCTGAATGTCTGAATGGGCCGGGCGAGAATGGAAGCACCCTTTGATCGCGGGAGACGTGAGACAGACGAAGACGGGAGACGTGAGACGGACGAAGACGGAAGACGTGAGACGGACGAAGACGGGAGACGCGCCGTGAGTGTGACGAACAGTCGTGAGTCGCAGCAGCCGATGGCGCAGAATCTGTGCCACGGCTAAAGAAACGAGGTAAATGTGTGAGCACAGTGGTAAACAACTGGACTCGGCATAAGCTTCAATTATTTACGCACCGTCATACCAGTACCAGTTGCCACGCGCAGCTTGGCAATAACTGCCCACGGTTTCGAGCAGCAGCGGACAGTCACCGCACAGCTTCAGTGTCACCGAACCGATGGGACCTCCCAGACCGTCCGCCCCCTTCTCTCCTCCCCATGACTCCCACTGTCCACCCCTTCCCTCCTCCCCATGACTGGCGCCGTGATGGCCCCAGGGTGCGGACGCGGCACCTCTCCCCTCTCCTATGACCGGCGCCGTGCCTCTCGGTACAGGGTGCGGACGCGGCACCTCTCCCCTCTCCTATGACCGGCGCCGTGCCTCTCGGTACAGGGTGCGGACGCGGCACCTCTCCCCTCTCCTAGTGACAGGCTCCGTGCCTCCCGGTGCAGGGTGCGGACGCGGCACCTCTCCCCTTCCCTATGACCGGCGCCGTGCCTCCCGGCTCCTGGTGCAGGGTGCGGACGCGGCACCTCTCCCCTCTCCTATGACCATTGACCCATGACGTGGCCGTCCCCCACAGGGTGCGGACGCGGCACCTCTCCCCTCTCCTATGACCGGCACCGTGCCTCCCGGTGCAGGGTGCGGACGCGGTCGCGATGCAGCATCGGCGCGCCATCCCCGGTCATCGGCGACGACTGGCGGTCAGCGTCGGTTCCGTTTCGGGAGAAGCTGCGCTACCTCTACGAGAACCAGATCATGGTCGACGTCACCTTCCACCTGTACGAGCCGGTGAGACGGGCATAAGAGCCAGTGAGACGGGGTATATACGAGCCGCCAGCCGGTGAGACGGTGTACGGGGTTAGTTATTGTTAGTTATTAGGGTTACTTAAAAGTTATCAAACGGGTTAGTGATTGTTAGTTATTAGAGGTTGTTTATTAGTTAGGTATTAAAAGGGTTAGTTATTGCTAGTTATCAGGGGCTACCTACTTATTAGTTGTTAGACGGGTTAGTTATTGTTAGTTATTAAGGGTTACTTATCAGTTCTATAACAGGTTAGTCGTTAGTTATTAGGGGTTACTGATTAGTTATTAGACGGGTTAATTATTATTCGGTACATGAAGTTATTAGACGGGTTAATTATTATTCGGTTAAATAATTATTCGGTTATTCGGGTTAAAGGGTTCGATTATTTTTTTTTTCTACCCCCCACTCGCACTTCGATTATTCTTTTCATCCCTCCCAGTCATGAGTATCTCTGAAGTCTTGTCCGTCTATCTGTCCGTCTGTCTGTCCGTCTGTCCGTCTGTTTGTCCGTCTGTCCGTCTGTATCTCCGTATGTATGCATGCACAAATGTATGCGTGTTGCTGTATGTTTCAACGTGTTCCGAATCCGATGTTCGTAGTTGTCTACAGAATCGGTGTCGCCAACCTACTTGGAGTCCGGCGGCGGCGTGCTCCCATTGTTGGCGCGGCGGCCGTCCCGTGCGGCATCTGTCTTGTCCGGACGGCACGGGCGAGTCGGTGGCGGCAGCGCGGCCGGCCGGCCGGCTGACAGGGCTCGGCAAAAACCCCCGCCGGCCGCCGCGCCGCGCGGTCCGCGCGCCAAAATAGCTGTGCCACTGACCGGCAGCCCAGCTATTTCCTTGGCCTCCCCCCCCCCCGCCCGGCTGAGGGAGGGGGAGTATTCCTCGGGCCTCCCTTGGGAGGGGCGGGGAGGGTGCTGGCGACGTTCAACCCGTGTGTTGTCAATTGCGTCTGATTTGGTACGGGTTATTTTTGGTCGCAGTGGGTCTGGGTAGTGGGTAGTGGGTAGTGGGTACGGACTAAACAGCTCAGGAGTGCTACGTTGGCACTACCTAACCGTGATCAGTTCTGAGAAACGGCGCAAAATCGCCGACATACTGGGCGCTGAAGCCATAGAACTCGGCGCCGATCAATACCCGGGTGCTGGTAAGGAGCGTTTCTGCCTCGAGCTTCTGGAAAGTACGGTAGCGGACAGGTAAGTACGCTCTCGCCTGGCCGGCTCTGCGGGCAGCTCCCAGGGAGCCGGTCTCACGACTCACCCCGGCTGGTCCGGCGCCGGTGCCCCGAGTCCCGTCACCTCCACTGACGGTGCAGCGGAGCGGGAGGCAGCCGCTGGTCTCACGACCCACTCAGTGTGGGTCCGGCGCCGGTATAGGTATCTATCCGGGGTCCCGCCGCCTCCACTGACAGTACGAGCGGGGCGGGGCGGGGAGGGAGGAGAAGCAGCCGCCCGCGTCACCGGCCACCGTTCATCACGGTCGCTGATCGGTGAGGCGACGGTCCGACACCTCCCTCCTGCCCAGCTGACGGACCGGCACGGCGGTCCGACACCGGATGTGGCGGTCTGACACCTCCCTCCTGCTCAGCTGACCGGCCAGGTGACGGCCCGACACCCCCCTCCCTCAGCTGACCGGCCAGGTGACGGTCCGACACCTACTTCTCCTCAGCTGACCGGCCAGGTGACGGTCCGACACCTAGGTACCTCTCCTCAGCTGACCGGTGAGGATATAGTCCGACACCTCCTCTCAGCTAACCTACTGACCATCTAACGCTGTATAGCGGCCCATCTAGTGTCCCTGAGTAACAGCCCGCGGTCTGCCTCCCCCAGCAGGCGGCGGGGGACGAGGCGCCCCCGGAGCGGCGGTCAGCGGTCACCAACGGTCACGGCGGGCCGTCGGACTCGGACTCTGACTCGGACTCGGACTCTGAGTCGGCTGACGGGCCGGCGCTGGTGGTGGGCGCCCACCGGCTGGTGCTCGGCATGGCCAGCGCCGTGTTCCAGAGCACCCTGTACGGCGGCCAGCCACCCGAGCGGCCGGTGGTCGTCAGGGACTGCGATCCCGGCACGTTCAAACTCATGATCGAGTGAGTACGGACCCACCGCGCCTGCTCAGGCGCTGCAGGTTAGACGTGCCAAATGGAACTGATGCGTCGGGAGCTAAACGCCAGCACTGGGGACTGGAGGTGAAACGAAAACACACTCAGGTCTCTTTGTTTGCGCCGAAAGCCTGCACTCAAATATATAAGACGGCATTAACCGCATTATCTAACCACATAATCTTAACAGCATTGATATTTTTCCTTATCAACGCTTTACTCTTTTAGCAGCTTCGTTCCACGATAATGTAACGTATCGTGTACAATGCTGGTTGCGCCGAGCTCTCCGCA